GCTCTAAAACATCAACTTTGCAACTACCTTCTTCTTTGAACAAGTCTTTTGGCTTTCCTCATCTTCCTTCCACTTTGACTTGGTCGGCCATCAAATAAAGACACAAACCATTTTGGTTTTCCTGTTCGGAAGACAAGATATCCCATCAGCAGTCCAAAAACAACTCCACATCCATAGCCTAACACCACAACTCTCCAGCCAAATCTCCACAACTCATCTTTTTCTTGGAAGGAGCTCGACTGTGTCCCATTTCCATCACAAGATTTTGATAATGGAATTCCACACAGTCCAGGGTTTCCTTCATAAGAATCATTTCCAAAGGTGTTGAACTGATTGCCCTGTGGTATGCGCCTGACAAGATGATTATTTGAAAGATTCAATACAGAGAGTTGTGTCAAAGATACCAATTCATCAGGAATTTTCCCCGCCAGCTCGTTGGAAGAGAGATCCAACCATTCCAGATTTGTCAAATTCCTTAGTGACGGTGGAATATGACCAATAAGGTTGTTATGAGAAAGATTAAGCCCTTTGAGAGAACTAAGCTTTCCCATAACATCTGGAATTTCTCCCTCAAACTTGTTATTTGAGAGATGAATACTACTGAATACGGTCAAGATTTTCTGCAGTTCACGCTCGGCTCCCTTCCATGTCACAACCAGTGAATATTGATAAGAACCGACATTCATGTATTCAGGAGAACCCTCATCTCTATAAAGGTCCATCATCGCTTTAAAATTTTCAATGTACCGAACAGGCAAAGGACCAAGGAAATCATTGTTGGAGAGGTCCAAAACTCGTAACCTAAGAAAAGATGGACTTTCTTTGGTGCTCTGCACAAAACCGTGGAACTTGTTGGACCTTAAGACAAGCACTTGAAGCTCTGGTAGAGATTCCAACCAATGAGGAAATGTATCCTCTATGCTGTTGTTGCCAATGTCTAGAACCTCTAACATGCTACAATTCACCAAACACCTTGGTAATAGCCCGTCCATTTGATTTCCATGTAAGTTGAGATTTCGTAATCCACAGCCCTCTGGAAACCCAAATGGTATATTTCCATCAAAGTAATTGGCCTGCAAATTCAACACTGAGAGAGACTTAGGAAGACAATTTGGAATCTTCCCGATTAAATTGTTATGAGAAAGGTCAAGAATTTGGAGATCATCCTTTTCACATATCCATTCGGGAATATTTCCATGAATGCTATTTTTGGATAGCACTAGGCTTTGCAGACCATTTGAATGTCTAATGAAATTGGGGAATTCACTCAAGTTACAAGAAGAAAAAGAAACATCAGTTAGTTTGGGTAATGTGAAGTTGGCAGTGACATTCATTCTCAAGGACAGATTATTGTCTGAAAGAAAGATGGTTTCCAGATTTTGAAGTGCCGAGAACATGTCAAGTTCTACTAAATCACTAAAATGATTTGATGATAAATCAAGATAACTAAGATTTACTAAATTAGCAATTGAGTTAGGAATTGAGCCCTGGAGTTTATTGTTTGACAAATCTAGATTTATGAGTGATTTTTGTTGGAATTGATTTATTTGACCTTGAAGTTGGTTGTGATTGAGATACAAGTGCTTTAAAAAAGGTAAGGTGAAAATCCAAGGTGGCAACGTGTCATTAAGTAAGTTATAAGATAAGTCGAGGTTGGTAAGTTGCCTTAAGTTACCTATGGAAGCTGGAATGGGACCAGAAAACTGATTATTGGAAAGGTCAACAGAGGTAAGTTGGGTGAGGTTTGCAAGTGATGATGAGATTTGTCCGCTAAGATTGTTATAAGAGAGGCTTAAGTAAGTAAGTTGAGATAAGTTCCCTATGGAAGCTGGAATGGAACCTTCCAAGTTGCAGCCAAGTGTCAGAGACTGTAATGACTTTAGATCTCCAATAGACTCTCGCAATCGCCTTCCACAATGCATATCATATAAATACAACCGTTGGAGAGGACTGCTCCAATTGGAACTTGGAAGATCAATAGTGAGGTTTCGATTTCCACTTAAACAAAACCTGTTGAGATTTGGAAGGCAGAAAATACTGTTTGGAAAGTTTCCTCTGAATTGACAACCCAAAAGATGAAGAGTAGTCAATGAAGAAGAGAGATTCATGAAGAAACAAGGATCAACAGATGCCATGTTCACTCCGCTAAGCACAATTTCTCTCACTTCACTCAAATTCTGAACAAGATTTCTCAAGGTAGTTGTTTCAAGGATCAATTTATCAGAATCAGAAGTGAACAAATCAGAGAGATTGAGAGAAACTAACTTGGGGAGGTGAGCAATTTCTGCTGGAACTTGGCCCGAAAATTGAGAATCAGAGATATCAAGATGCTTTAGTCTAGTAAACTGACTGATTTCTGGTGGAATCTTGGAAAGCCTAAAATCATTGGAGGCAAGATTGAGGCTCTCTAGGTTTTTGAGGAGAAAAAGAGTGCTGTTCGAAGGAAAGGTGCCAGAAAGGCAATCGAAGCTGAGATCAAGGGCAATTACATGACCTGTGACATTATCACAGCTAACCCCATCCCAGGAGCAGCAGTCTATACCTTCCTTCCAAGACTCAGTCCTAGAATAATTAGTATAACAAACAGTGTAATTGATGGAAAAGAAAGTCTTGAATTGCAACAAAGCAGCAGCCTCCTCATGAGAGCAGAGACGTGTTGTTGAGAAGGAAGAAGCACGTAAAGAGGATGCGAAGGTAGTTTTAAGGCAGAGGAAGAAAAACGGGAGGCAGAGTGGGGTCGAGAGCATTGTGAAAATTCCCATATCTCTGTTTGGCGTAATAGAGTAATCTAGAAGAGTATATATAATGTTTCAAATTGAGGTATGCTAATAATTGAATATATTTTATCGAAACAGAAATAAATTGAGACATTCTAATAATTGAATATATTTCATAAAAACAAAAATAAATAAATATAATATTGACCCACGGTAGATGTCATTTTTGAATCTACATTTCCGACTCTTCTTTTATTTTTCTACTTTGAAATTAGATGGAGTAATTAACTATTACAATCACATTATTAATATGACTTTAATTAGTAATTTAAATCTTAATAAAAAATTTTATTTTTGTCATGGCGTGATGTAAGAAGATATTTCTGTTATTTAAGAATTAGAATTAATAATTTAAAAAGATTACTTACTTGCATTTCTTGATATATATACATATATATAACAAATATTAATAGATAAATACTAATATCAAAAGATTATTTAATATAATTTACAATCACTTGCTCTAAATGAGGTGAGCAGAACATGTACCATAATCACTTACTATAGTTCTCATTCTAAACTTCATATACTCGTTAATTTTTTACATTTTTATTTTTTTAAAATGAGTCTGATCAAAGGTTAAGGATGCGCTCTATATATAGGAGGAAAAGGTTATAAACAAAACTGACACAAAAAAACCTAATTGAGTCTTAGTCATAGCACTATGATTTCAATTTCAAAATTTTGAACTTGGTTCCTACTTTGATTGGAAACTCTTCCACTCTTGCATTACATATTGGTACATACATCATTTTTATTGCATGTCAATTTCCACATGTACTTGACAAACGTGGTTAAGAAAATGTAACTAAGGAAACTTGTAAGCAGTTGCAGGGAAGTGATTGACGAAAAAGATTGAAAAATTAAAGTTATTTTTGACTTTTTTATAAAAGGGTCAACATCGATTTTGCTACTTTTTGGAACAAATAATTTTCCACCAAATGTATTTCTCTTTCTTCGAACTTTGGTTTCCACCTCTTGCCCACTTGAAAGTATATGATAAGTTGACTTTCTTTATTCTTCAATTTCTATTGAAGTTTAGAAGAAAGTTTATTAAAAACTCTTGAATATTTCGATTTATTAGAATCCAACAAGATTTTTTAGTAAAAAAAGAAACGAAAAGAAAAGAAGGGACTGAGAAATTGATGAACGGTCATGGGATTAGAAATGACAAAATTGCATTTTCCAGATGTTCACACCAGTATAGTGCCACCGCAGCAAGGACATAGCAAGGACATAGCAAATTCTTTTTAGGGCCAAAAAGACAACAAAATGCACTTTCACCATTTAACATAGCCTTTTCCTAAAGCATTGTAGAACAAAGACAGAATTACAAAGCACAAAGAGAAAATTTGGCAATTTTTTAAACTAGTAAAGAGAACACTACAACAAAGAGACAGAAGCCATCCAAAACGAAAACATTGTTTCGAAAAGAGTAATTTTCATTTTTCAAGTAACTCGAATCTAGAAGGTCTAAAACATCAACTCTAACTGATTTCTTCTTCGGGGCTTTCTTCATCTTAATTCCACTTTGATTTGGTTGTCGATGAAACAAAGACAAACCATTTTGGTTTTCCAGTCCGAAAGATACCCCACCAATAGTCCAAATACCCACCCACAACCATGGCCTAACAAGACAACTAAAAAAAAAACTATTTCAAGTACCATAAATCTCTCAATTTTCTCAAATTTTCTCAAGAATTGAGTAGGTGTTTAGGGGAAAAAATATGGAGAGAATTGAAACTTGGAATACATACTTGGCTAAGTCGAATTGTGCTTGGCAATCAGCAGTCATAGAGAATAGTCAAATTTTTGAAGACATAATAAACTAAGATAATACGCATTCACTGTAAAAATAAATAAAAATCAATCAATATATAAAATATAATATTTCTTTAAAGAAAAAGATAGAGTTCAAGAATTTCCTCTATCACATTTATACAGCCTAGACATATGGAACCAGTCATACACAGCTTATATAAAGAATCAAAATAATGCCCGCAAGCAAAATAAATGTTATTGGTATAGGATCAAGATAAGTATCAAGATTTTTGTTGTAGAGTCCACGCATGCATTTTAAAATGCCCAATTAAGATGGTTAAGTTTATAATTATGCTAAAAATAATTATCCCACAAAGAAGAATGCTACATAAAAAATTCATTTACATAAAGGCAAACATTGGAACATGATGATATTTGACTTGTCATGAAGAGTACTGAAAGAGGTAAAATATAAAAATGATGCTCATCAGTGAGCTAATAACTGCACCACGGATAACATTTCACTCACATTAATTTTTTTGCAACTCAAAAGAAAACAACCTCTAATTTTTTTGCACATATTATTTTAATTTGATCTAATTAACAAATAAAAATTCTCACACAAAATTGACAAAAAAACCTAATTGAGTCTTGGTCATGGCACTATGATCCAAGTCATTGTTAACACCTTGGTGTTGACGTTGTTAAATGGCTTCCTACCTTCTTTTTTTCCCCTGGTGTTCAAGTCTTTGTCAATGCCTTGATGTCTCTATCAATGCTTTATACGTGTTTAATTTTCAATGTCACTTAAACTTTGCTAAAAATGAACAGATGAGGTTAAGTGTATATTATCCTCAAGAAAATATAAAGATGAAATGAAAGAGAAGATTTTTGTAATAATATGTAGATCTTAATTCGTCACACACAGTTTTCTGACTAGAACTATCACTAATTAAAAGCTAATATGGTCAAAGTAACGGTTAGCTTTTGGAAGGTCAGTGGTCGCCTGATGTGATGATCCCGTATCAAAGAAGGAACAATCCAATTCTTGTTTGAAGTATTTAACGATGCAACAGATATATTGAGGTATCATTTCAGTGGCTTGAGTTTCGAATTCTGGACAATTTTTAACAAAACTTTCATATTGCATGACTGAAACGGTTCGGCACCTCTATACACAATTGTTGTATTAATTATATTTTTATTTACAAAAATGGAGTCAGTCTTTTTAATGTGTGTCTTGAGAGTATTATGAATATATTAATTATATTTTTTTTATTAATTTTTATAAAAAATAAAAATTAATTTTAATTTTACCAACTATTTAATTAAATCATATATATGTCATTGATATTGAAATTGAAATTAACTTTTCTTTTATATATAATTTTTCCAACTCATGCCATTATCTTACAAGTTAAAGGTGAAATTAATGTATTTTTAACTTTTAAGTCATATAAAAAATAAAAAAAGATATTTATTTTAGCACTAAGTCCACTTATATTAATTTAATTGAGTAATTGCTAAAATTAAAATCAACATTTATATTTTTTCCTTTATAAAATTAACATTTATTTTTTCTATATGACTTAAAAATTAAAATATGCAATAATTACACTTTTAACTTATGTCCTAAAATATAGATTAGAAAACCTCATTAATAAAAAAGTGTAATTAATACCCCTTAATATATACTCTAGGGCTACAAGTTAGATAAACTCTTATTTTTATCACTAATATTAAATTAAAGTTACCTTTTAATTTTTTTTATAAATTAATTCAAAAATAATTAATACATCATTAACTTGTATTAAAATACCTATTAAAAAAACACTAGTGATCATCAGTTCATCACCAATCTTGAAAGTGACGTATTATAAAGTTTACTTCGGTGTTTTCTATCAATTGATAATGATAAATGTTAGCTCATATTAGTTTAAAATTTACTTACAGGTCCAAATATTTTCATATACCATTTAGGAAAAAAAATTATAAAATGAAAAAATTAGCAAAACTAAATACACCTTTAAACTCTATCAGTTCTCAAAGAATTAAGAGTTTATTCAGCAATCAGCTTATGATATTTTTAACATCTGTAGATTACGAAAAGGAATTAATTAATCTACTTCCGGCAAGCAGCTATAAGAATTAAAGACAGATGGTACTGAGAATTTGGACTCATTCTGAGTACAGTGAGCATTTTCCGACCTGAACTTTTTCCTACTCCTTGTTCATGCCTTACAAACTAAGATTAAGACGTATAATGTTTCTTTTAGGATTCTGCTCTTGTTCTTCCCTCTTGTTTGTGAATTGGTATTCTTTCCATTGGAAAAAGTTCATATATTAATTGAAGATTATAATGAAAGAGAAACTAAGTTAATGCTTACTAAGTTAATGTTTATTATTCTCTTCTTTCATCTCTTGAACTCAATATAGATTAGTGAAGGTGTTTGGGAAAACTTAAAAAGTATTATTTTTCTCACAAAGTTAAAATTTTGTTAGAGATAAATACTTAAAATTAACTATTTAAATTTATTTTAGACAAATTTTTAAAAAATTATACATCTAAAATTTTTTCAAAACTTAATTAATATTCACTTTAAAAAACAATTTTTAAATTTCCCTTCAACAAAATTTCAAACTTATAAGTGGTACTTTAAAACAAGTGTTTTTTAACATTTGCTAAACACCTTTAGTATATTTGACAAGAGCCTTTAAAAAAAAAAATTCAAATACTTTCATTATAACAGGAGTAGTGGGGTGAGCATAGAGCAAACTTTTTTCATTGTGGCCTTCATATAATATTAGAAGAGACTGGTGGATCATCATTAACCGTAGAATATGCATAATAATATAATTTTTTGTTTAGCTAGGAATTGATTCTAAGAAAGCAATTACAAGGAAACATCTTAAATTAATGCGACTGATTTTCATTGACTAACGTTGAAGAAGAGCTAGTAAGTGGAATAAACTCTGCAAATGCAATGATTCTTTTGAGTCTTTTAGACATTATAAAGAACAACAAGTAAATCTAGAAGCAAAAACAAAGTCTTTTCCAAACTGCATCAATATTAGTGGGAAAGCAATTCAAATTAATTATTTATGATCATCAAGACTTGACCAATCAAAGATAGGCATATATATGTGTTTGGTTCCCGCATGCCTTTGACACTAAGATTAAGACGTATAATGTTTCTTTAATTTAGGATTCTGCTCTTGTTCTTTCCTCTTGTTTGTGAATTGGTATTCTTTCCATGGAAAAAGTTTATATATTAATTGAAGATTACAATGAAAGAGAAACTAAGTTAATGCTTATTAATTAGTTAATGTTTATTATTCTCTTCTTTCATCTTTTGAACTCAATTTAGATTAGTGAAGGTGTTTTGGTAAAACCTAAAAAGTATTTTTTTCACAAATTTAAAATTTTATTAGAGAGAAATATTTAAAATTAACTATTTAAGTGTATTTTAGACAAATTTTTAAAAAATTATACATTTAAAATTTTTTCAAAACTTAATTAATATTCAATTTAAAAAACAAATTTTAAATTCCCTTAAATAAAATTTCAAACTTATAAATAGTACTTTAAAACAAATGTTTTTTAACATTTGCTAAACACCTTTAGTATATTTGACAAGAGCCTTTAAAAAAAAAAAAATTCAAATACTTTAATTATAACAGGACTAGTGGGGTGAGCACAGAGCAAACTTTTTTCATTGTGGCCATCATATAATATTAGAAGAGACTAGTGGATCATTATTAATCATAGAATATGCATAATAACATAATTTTTTGTTTAGCTAGGAATTGATCCTAAGAAAGCAATTACAAGGAAACATCTTAAATTAATGCGACTGATTGTCATTAACTAACATTGAAGAAGAGCTAGTAAGTGGAATAAACTCTGCAAATGCAATGATTCTTTTGAGTCTTTTAGACATTATAAAGAATAACAAGTAAAGCTAGAAGCAAAAACAAAGTCTTTTCCAAACTGCATCAATATTAGTGGGAAAGTAGTTCAAATTAATTATTTATGATCATCAAGACTTGACCAATCAAAGATAGGCATATATATGTGTTTGGTTCCCCCTTTGAATCTATGGTTACAATAGACCAAGAGGATTCACGTTTTAGCATACAAATGCCATATTTGATTAGATGAGACTTAATTGGTGAATCTTTGTGGCTACTTTCTGACTTCTTTGAAAACCTTGTATAAAGTATGCAAAACTATACTACAACAAGGCCCAGGAACATTATCAAAAGGTTAAATACCTTTTTTGGTCCCCCTACAATTGAAAAAAAGCCCCTTTTTGGTCCCTATACTGAAAAAATCTCCTTTTTGGTCCTTGAATTTTGAAATTCGGCCCCTTTTTAGTCCCTCCGTTAATTTTTGCTCACGTGGCAAGTTATCTTAACAGAAACCATTGATGTGGATATTCCATCGTGTAAAAATGCTTATGTGGACTTAATATACCCCTCCATGTCACTCTCTGAAAAAAAAAAAAAAAAAAACTTAATTAATGGGACCCACATTCTTCAATTCTGCTTCCTTTGTTTTTCCAGTTTCTTTCAGATTCCTCCCTAGATATCATCTTCTTTCTTTCAAAAGTCTTGTTTCTCATTCATAATCAACTCTTTACATGTGAGATTAATCAAGATATAATTGAGAATTCATAAAACTATTTTCATAAATTATTTTCATTGATAAAAATAAAAATTAATTACTAATTAAAATGATTTATTAATACTGTCGATCTTAACTTCTTCTCTGCAAAACAGATCCTTCTCTTTACGGATTTTCAACCCTTTTTTCTTGTTAAACCTAGGTCATGAATGAATCAAGTTATGAAGTTTATAGTAACATGAACTCAATAATATGAATCTATCCCTTGCAATTTCAAAGCCACATATCAAACACAATTTGGGTTTCGTAATCAACCCAGAACTTAACTTCTATAATTCAAAAATGAATTTGAAACTTTGGTTTCATTTGGTTCCATTATGGAATATGGATACATTCAAAAAGAAAAGGAAAAAAAAAAGGGGGTCGGAACCCAGAACCCAGAAACTGGGTTCCATGCGAAACCCAGATTTGGGTTCCTCGAGGAACCCAGCAACTGTTGTGGAACCCAAGATGATGAAGGGGAGGGGAAGAGGATGGTGATTACATGATGCCATGATGCCGAGGATAAGGATGAGGAGAAAGAAGATGAAGAAAGAAGAAGAGGAAGAAATTAAAGCTAATTAAACTCATTTAATTCATTAATTAATAAATAAAATTTTTAATTTATACATGTAGACAAAATATTTAGATGAAATGCTTACATAGATTATAATTTTGTACACGTAATTTTCACGTAGTTTATTATATTATTTATATAAAAAATAATCAAGAGATTCTGTTAATTAATGTGCCACATAAGCAAAAATTTAACAGAGGGACAAAAAGGGGCCAGATTTTAAATTTTAGGGGTTAAAAAAGGGATTTTTTCAGTATAGGGACCAAAAAAGAGCTTTTTTCAATAGTAGAGGGACCCAAGAGGGTATTAACCTTCTCAAAACAACAAATATCACAATGACAGGATATTAGATATTTATTTTGAACAAAAATTTATATAAAGAACACAATGAATTATCTTAATCAATTATTTATCATAATAAGAGCAAAAAATAAAATAAAATAAAATAAAATAAATCATACCACTAAGTCTTCATTGTTGTCATGACAAAACTTTTCTCATCTTTAGTTATTACGATTTGATGTTCAGTTGTTGAAATTAGGAGATTTCCTACTACTAAGGACAAAACTTTTTAGTATTTTTTTAATCAAGGATATGATATTTATTTTATTAATCAAAACTAGTATTTTTAAAAATTTATAATTAAGGATACAATCTTTGTAATTTGGCTAAAAGAATTAAGTGAATGTGCACAAGTTTATTTATGATTGATTAAAAAACTTTAAGAAGATAGTAATTTTAATTAGTAAAAAAAATACCATTTCTTTTAACAAAAAAAATTATAATTTTGATGCATTAATAATAATTATAAAATTATTTTAAATATAGATCATTAAATAAATATTTAAAAATTAAATGAAAAAAACTCTAAACCTACTACATTGCTTCAATAAACAAGCAGTTTGTTTAGGGCATGGTTGAGGCTGAGAACTTACTTCAGTTCTGCATATATTTTCACTTAAATTCATTAGGGTTATACAAATTATGAAATTTTTATTTAAATTTAACAAAGTTGCACAAGAGCGCTAACGCCGAAGTAGTGCTTAAAAGGACAATAAAACGTAATTTATAAAATATAGCATTTTATTTTAAATTAAAATACTAAAAGTTACAACAATTCTACCTCTATTTTAATAAAAAAAATAAACAAATTATTTTGAACAAAGATGTATTATTATGCATAATAAATATAACTAAACTTTGAAATTTTATTTAGTGAGTTAGTAATTCATATTCCAGAGTTAATAGTATACTAAATCTTGAACTCTGATGTATAAAAGGATACAAGAATCGCATCACACATAATGATTCAAGTGTTGAGTTTTTCATACAATTAGCATAATATGGCATTGTGCATGATCCCAATTGTCATGAGTAGACTAGAAAATTGCACATACAATTTATACGGAAATGACTTTACTATGACACCCACATAGATGAAATCCATTAATATTGCCCCCATAACTCGGGACACTCCACGCAAAACAAGCTACAAGTTTATTAAGAGTTTTAGAACTCAACCATGTAACATTGTGGGATAGGTACATTTAAATCTTAGGGATGGACACTTGAGCAAGAAGCTCGAGTGATATATTTTCACAAATGATCTCCCTATAATCCATTTTTCTCATTTGAACCTATTTTAAAGAAATATTACTTGATATAAGTCTCCAAAAATTATTGCATGCAAAATTTTGATTATGAGTTGGGTATCCTTAGAGGAGATTCTAGGTTTTATAGACCAAGTCTTCTCCCTTTGATGTACCCTACCCTAGATCTTGGACCATGCACAGTCTTTCCTTTGACTTTTTACCTAATGCCTAGTTTGTGTTACAGTAGGTGCTAAAAATTTAATCTTTTTTTTCAATTACACTATCCACAAATCTTCACTAGGTCATTCAAATGCATCACTTCCATTTTCATAAATTCTCATTAATCCATTGCTATGATTTCAAAAGTCAAAGTATTGAGCGAGTAACCACCACTTCATAACATACAGCAATATGTGTAATTTTTTTTTTTTACTTTTTAATTTAGACACTATTGTATAGGATTGTCTCACATGGTATATCCCTTTTGTTCAAGTAAGGTGTCTAATAATTATTTATTTTAATCATGCACTATTATACCATAATTGTATAATAGAAGTGCATATTACATTTGCTCACTTAAGCACCATTGTACATTATGGTCTACTAGGAATGCATATATCACATGTATTTTATTGTATGGGCACCATTATACCTTATTGCATAATAGGAGTACTATATAAAATTTCAATTAGGCACCATTAGTCTCACCACCAATAATACTACAAAAAGGATACCTCTTCTTAAAAATTTCTCCATCCATATGCAATCTCCAATGGTGGAAATATCTCAAATATGTAATTTTTACATTTTTCAAATAATTGAGTTTATATAAAAAAATATATATTTCCTCATAATATTTTTTTATAAGAACTTATTAGCTCATTTCATATATACAAATGGCTCACTTCATATATAATTGATCACACAAGTTTAAAAAGTTAGATTACATACCTGCAATATACGAACCAAAATTATCTGATAATTTTGTCAAAATGCATGGACCATCTATATAAGAAAAAAAATTTATATGGAATTGATCTCATACCTTTTTTTGATAAACTCAACAAAGCATATAATTTCAATTTTTTTGCATAAATATATGAAGTTTAGGAGCAGCTTCTCAACAAAGCATATAATTTCAATTTTTTTTTTTTTATAAATATATGAAGTTTAGGAGAGCTAGCTGCTTTGATATGAGAAATATTAATGCTCTTAAATTATACAGTAATTATAATGCAGCATACACACTTAGAGACTACAAACTTGCATTAGCAAATTTAAGTATAAAAAAAAATGATAGATCAATAGATTTACATTTTGAAAAATTTCTTCTAACTATTGGAAATATGTCACTAATTAAGTATTACATTAAGAGTATTAGAACACATATTTTACATGTATTGCTAAACGCAAAATATTAAAAAAGGCAATATATTGCATCCTCTTCGTCCTTATTTAGCTCTTAGAAAATATATTTTATAAATATCATATCAATATTTCAATGAAAACATATAATTCAAACTACTAGTCCCATACATACAAACATAACCAAGTAATTAAACTACATACCCAAATCTGATCTCAATATCTCTCAAGTAATTAAGTATCAAAAAGAGTTAGATAAGCAAGATATACTTATTTTTTATGCAGATTGAATCATTTTGAAATTGTTATTTCTCAAATATTTTCCTTTATTTGTACATCATGTCCTTGTTGTATCTCAATCACAAAATCAATAATTTTTTTGACAAAACAAAATCAATAAAATTGATAATTAGTGAACCTATTAGGGAAATATCAATGAAAAAAATATCATCAAAATAGACATAAAAAGCTTAGTTGCTTTAAGTTGCATGTTTCACACCTCTATAGATAGGAGATCTACTAGTGTGGCAGAAAAATATACATAGCATGCCATCCTACAATACTACAGTTTTATAATAATGTTCTATAAATCTGTATTATCTATAAAGTAACCTAATTCAAGACACATTTTTTACCTAAGAATATTTAAAATAATAAAATAGTGCAAGAAAGTAAAGAACGTAGAGGAACTTTCTTTTTTGAGTCAAAGTAACATGTTCTATTTATAGGATACTTAGTGTTGTAATATTTATTTATAAATTAATTATAAAAATAAGCTGTGCAATTTGATATATAAATTTCTTAAAATATACTTAATAAAACTCTTCTTATATTATTTTATTAATGTCATTTTAATAATTTCATCACACGAACTACACTTGAATAGTATGGTTAGACTCAAACCACATGTAACTCTAAAAAATAATATAATATTTAGAAAAATTAAAAATGTACTTAGTTTGTTATAATATTATTGTTAAGGCACAAATATTATCTAGTTTTAAGGAGTATTTTACTTGAAATACCAAACGGATTATATTCTGATTTCCTGCAGTGGCCAACATGGATTCATGGTAGCTATAACAGGTATAGAGAATATTGGGAAAGGCTTGATTTGCAATGGTACAGGATTTGTGACATTCCCTGTGAAGTATCGATGTGTTCTCTTTAGACCATTTAAAGGTGAGATCTTAGAAGCTGTTGTGACCATGGTCAACAAGGTAACTGTTTTCTATTTGCTAGTCTCCTCACTTAATGATAAGATTATCTTACGAACCATGGATTTCTACTGCTTTACAGGTAACTGCATTTGTGATTCCTACAGATGGGATTCTTTGCAGAAGCTGGATCTGTTCAAATTTTTGTTTCAAACCATGTAAGTATTTTTTCCCTTTTTAATAAGGTTTCTGGTCCAAGAGGATCGCTATATTCATCTTGTGACAAGCATTTTCATTTTTCCATTCAAATCTATGCCATCTGTGAGATGTCAATTTGCTTGGCAGTAATGCATTTTCTTTTTTTGTTTATTGCTTACGTTGTGGCTATTGTTGATGAAAACTTGAATTTTCTTTACCTTGATGAAATTTATTGTTTTCATTGAGCTTTTCTATGTCCCACAAGAAAAATAGAACTCCTTTGATTGAATTAGGTACTGTGTTTAGCAATTGACAGGGAAGAGCTAACATGTTTTGTGTCCCTTTTTTTTTTCTTTTTTGGAAATGCTTTACTTGTTGAAACTTAGCAATTGATGTATGGTGAAGCTTACTAATGAGGAACTTAGGAACTCCACTTTCACACACTTAACAAGCTACATAAAAAGCAAGATGCTAATGAAAAATACAAAGAAACATAAATTTGATAAATTAAATAAGTTCTTTATCTAATGTAACAAAACAGCATATTACTCACAAGAAACTTATTACATATATTAAACATAATTCTTTAGGGTTGGGCCAATCTCTGTAGAAGATGTTCCAGGATTCATTTTTTGCAGGGTGGATTACAAAATTGGGTGTCTTTAATTGCTCATACTTTATGTCCTTGACATGTGATTAACTGATTATGCCATATATGTCTTCTGCATCTCTATTGATAATGGTTTTTGTTTTGGTAGTTGATTCCGGATGATATGGAGTTTCAATCTGGAGATATTCCCAATTATACTACTTCAGATGGATCGGTATGGTTTAGCCAGATAAAAAAGTTAAAGAGCAAAACCTGAGAAACATGAGAGTCTGCAAATTGCCGTCCAGAGGTACTTGGGGTGTCATCATCAGTAGCATTTCACCCTTGGTTCGCTTTCTGCAGAAATTTGACATGAAAAATAGATTAAACAGTTAACAAAATGTCAATGCTCTTGGAATCAAATCAAATCAAAAGCAGATGAAGAAAACTTTTACCAGTCTGGATATCAGTATCGGGTCCCTCAAATATTTGATTGTGAAAGTGAGAAGGACTGACACTTTCATAATGCCCATACTTGCTTTCATCTTTCACCCAGTCACTTCTGTAGCACTGGAGCAGTTCGTTCAGATGAGGCCACTGCTCCAAATTTTCATCGAGCTGCTACCCAAAAATTAAAAAGAGAATAAATTAATGGCAAATCATTAGTATTCTTAAAACTGCTTCTCAGGCCAGCTGATTTCAGCTTGTAGAGGGGTACAAGCTGAAACTAAACTAAAAATTTGTAGGTTTTGAAGAACCTAAATTTGGTAAACTAATTTTTCTGAAATTATTTCACATAATTCCACAAATCAAACAGCATGTTAAGGGAAAACACAGATAAGATTAAAGATGGAGAGTAAGGAAAGCAGAGAACTGACCAAGTTTGAGATGCGCAGGGTTATGTCGAGATATTCCCCGAAAGAGATATTGTCCATTGTCGCCGGAAGACGCTCACCTCACCACGTTACCCGCGGGGTAACGCAGATCTAAAGCGAAGAGCAATGCAGGGTGAGATTCGAAGAGATCGGAGGAGAAGGAGTAGCAATTTGACAAATGAAGAAGCGACAACTCTGACCTAACCCCACCACCACCACCACCACCACAGACACCAGTCAATATCAGTCCAGAATACACGAGCCGTCGTTCTCCTTTATCGGATTTTATTTTATTTTTTTATTATTATTTTCGCTTCTGGTTTTGATTTGTATGCATATAACTCCCCAGGTTATAAAAGTTAGTTAGACACATACAATAACTCTTTTTTTAATTTATATATAGAAAAAGTAAAGGTTTTGTAGTTTACTTAAATATGAAAAAATGTATAAATGTATAAACAAAAATATTAATTTTATTTTTTATTAAAAGTATTACTTTTTTCAGTTTTTAAATAAAAATATTAATTTTTAATTTTTTTATTTAAGAATTTTAACTCTTAAATTTTTTATTTAAGGATATTATATTGAAAAAGTAAAGATTTGTAGTTGAATTAAATACAAAAAAATGTATAAGTAAAGATATCAATGTTATATTTTTTAAAAAAAAATATTAATTT